TCTCTCTCTCTCTCTCTCTCTCTCTCTCTCTCTCTCTCTCGTTTCTTTTTCTTTGTGTAGCTGCTAGTTTCCCCCTTTGCTTAAGATCCACTTTGAAAAGTGTTTCTTGTATTTTTTCATATTACTCCGCCTCAGGGAGTCCAGTTTGAAGGAAACTGGTAGTGAATGGCGGCACATTGTTAGTGCCGGACATGGACTCACCTGCAGAGTGGGGGGAGGGGGGGCACATTTCAAGGGGGGGGTGCAAGTTAATGAATGAGTCAGGCTTTGTATATCTATATATTTGGTAACTTTTTTTCTTTTTTTAACAGTTCATTATAAACATGAATGTCGGATTGTTTGAACTGGATTCAGCAGCTGCCTAGTTTTCAGTTTGATTATCTACAAAAGTGAGGAATCCCTCAAAAACTGATGTTACATTATTTTAACTTTATTGATCCCAGAGGGAAATTCTTGAAATTGAAGCTGGACACTTAATCATGCATTTATGTGTGGATGATTTGTTATTTTGTAGAAGTGGAAAGGTTATTAGTTTAACAGCGATGGTGTTTTTTTTTTGTTTTTTTTTAAAGTATATATGAGAGCCTTTCTAAATTTAGTCCAGAACTCGGCAGTTGCTGACTTGCAAGGGCAGTATGAATGTGGGGATGATTGGCAAAACACAGGCAACAGATGTTCAAATCAGAAACAAATTATTTTTGTACTAAAGCAGGTTGCCTTTAGAGTTCCTTCAAGCTTGGCTCACTGAGGCAGTATGTTTACAAAAATCATTTTTGTAATTAGGATTTTTTTTTTTCCTCTTTTAGTTGGAAGAATAGAAGTGTGTCGGTTTTTGTCAGTGTCGTGCTTTGTAATGTGAACCAGTGTTTCCCAACGCGGAGCTCGGGGACCCCCCAGACAGTCCGTGTTTTTTGCTCCCTGTCAGACAGTCCACATTTTTGCTCCCTCCCAAACATGGGCAGTCTGGGCGTCCCCGAGAACTGGTTTGAGAAACACTACTGTGAAGGAGCAATTGGTCTGCTGCGGTCTGCCTGGGTACTGTTGACATTGCTGTAGATTTTCTCCCTGAGGTCTTTTCCCTTGGCATACTTGACCCTGTCTGCCCTGTCTGGGGGGGGGGGGCATTTACTCCCTGCCATCATACGCTCAGCACTTCCCTGGGCTCACAGTCCCTGGTAGCTGCTACACTCACAAATCGCATCATGAGAGATGTGCCCAGTAGCAGATGTTGACCATGCGTTGGTATACACCCTTATTTGGGCATCCTCCTAGTAGACACATTGTCTTAGTTTTAAAACTGAAACCCAGCCATTTTTGGATTCCCTTGGCAACAACAAACTGAATCATTTACCTGTCTGTTGTGAGGGGAGGAGAAACAAATTAATAATATGGTAATTGAATTGGTGACTATCTTTACAAATGAACCTTATTTCATGTTACAAAATGTTTGTCCTCAGTAAATAGATTAATAATAAATTCTTAATGGGTGTGACTATCCATTGTCAACACCACAGTGACATTTCCTGTTTAAAAATTCCCTGTTTTTTAAAAGCTAAAGTTAAAAAAAAAAAGTCTGCTGCACCTACTTTGATTTGCTCCATGAGCTGCTTCATCGAGCAAAACTAATACTTCATATCTCAGTGAACTCTCATGCCCAGTAAATGGATCTCAGACATAGCTGCCTGTGCTCTCTTTTAAGTTTTTAATAGTTACAGAACTTTGTAAGGACCTCTCCCCGGCATTGTCTCCTACCCGACCTACTTTTGTGTGGCTATTTGTAAATACGCAGAGGTGTGCTTACTGTTGATTGACCAAGGGACTAGATCTTAATCACTTTTGTTAAGTAACCCACAAGTATCCGCTGGTAACTTAGGGCAGTGCTTCTCAACCCGGTCCTCAGGAACACCCACCAAACACAGAAGCTGGGAGGGAGCAAAAATGTTGTTTGTTAGGTAGAGAGATGGGAGGGAGCAAAAATGTGGACCGTCTGGGGGGGGGGGGGGGGGCGGTTGGGAAACACTGACTTAGGGTACACTTGACTGTTCTGCCAGAGTGCATAATTGCTGGATTCCTTGGGAGTAAATAATTTTGGGAGAGTGGAGATATGACTGACGTGGAGGATATATGTATTTGTGGATGTTGCTGTGTATGTGTTTGTATGTAAGCTACTGTGGTTGTATTTTCCCTCATTATGATCATTCCCACTAGACTGGGAGAAGAATGAATGTGCAGACCTGTGCAGTGTAATATTTCCCTATGCTTATGTTATCAAAATGTGGTTTTGAATAAAAATGTGATGACAAACTTTGTTTTTCCCCTCTTAATGAGTCGAGCATTTGAGAATTAGATCTTTCTACAGCATTTTCTGTTCCCAGGCATAAAAATGTTGCATGTAAGTGTAATTAAGCACCCTAAACAGACTGCAGCAAAGTAACATGAACAGTTTAGACTTCTATAGGTTCTATTATAATGAGGGGAACTGGTTTTGCTGCCAGTAAGAGAAAGCTGCAATGAGATTTAAACTTGAGTACAGTGTTTCCCTAATCTCCAGTGGTTTTCAGAGGCTACTTGGGTTTCTTTTAATCCCCTCCTCCGCTGCTGGCTACAAGAATCCAATATAATTCCCTATCATGTGGATGGAACAACATCCAATTAAATCAAAATATTTTTTAAAATAATACTGAAATAGTATTAATGAACTCTGAGTTAAGATGGTCTCTTAGGCATGTACACAGCAATATGATGACCAGCTGTTATTGATGCAATGCCTAGTGTGTCACAACAGTGACCACAAGGACCATCTTTGGAGATAAGTTGCAGTGATGTGTGTGTGAGATGTCCAAAAAAGCAATATAACATTTGAGTAGGCATCTTTAATTTGTCCATAGTATGTGATGTGTGTGTATGTATGTGTGCGTGCCTGGTGATAGATTAGCATCCTGTCCAGGGTGCCATGCAGTTGCTGGCTCCAAGACTCTAACCATGCACTGGATAAGCGATTATCCAGCGATTAGAAACCTGGGTGGTAGCATCGTCCATCCTCTAATCCAGTGCTTCCCAATCCAGTCCTTGGGTACCTGCAGGCAGTCCATGTTTTTGCTCCCTCCCAGTTCCCTGCCAGGCAGTAGGGAGCAAAAACATGGACTGCCTGCAGGTACCCAAGGACCGGATTGGGAAGCACTGGATTAGAGGATAGATGACGCTACCACCCAGGTTTCTGAGTCCTTATTTACAAAGTGTAGGATAGCCCATTTGGAACTCAAATTACCCATACTGTTTACATTATTTGTGTTTCATCATGTTCTGCATTGGCACAGAACAACTGTTTAAACCTATTTCAATTATTGCATGGCTGCCCCCCCCCCTTCGTTCTACCTTTAACCTGGCAAATTTATTTTTACGGTAATTCTGAGCCGATTGAAAAGCAGCAGGCGGGGTGCATCCTGGAGGGGATATACATTGCTCAAAAAAATTAAAGGAACACTTTGAAAATGCATCAGATTTCAATGGGGAAAAAATCCTGCTGGATATCTGATATGAACTGGGTGATGTGAAAGTGATGTGAAGGTGATGTTAAGAGTGAAAGGATGCCACATCGTTTGATGGAAATGAAAATTACAAACCTACAGAGGGCTGAATTCAAAGACACCCCGAAAATCTAAGTGAAAAAATGATGCAGCAGGCTAGTCCATTTTGCTGAAAAGTAATTGCAGCAACTCAAAATCGTACTCAGTAGTTTGTATGGCCCCCATGTGCTTGTATGCATGCCTGACAATGTCGGGGCTGCTCCTAATGAGACGACGGATGGTGTCCTGGGGGATCTCCTCCCAGATCTGGACCAGGGCATCACTGAGCTCCTGGACAGTATGAGGTGCAACCTGGTGGCGTTGTATGGACTGAAACATAATGTCCCAGAGGTGTTCCATTGGATTTAGGTCATGTGAACGTGGGGGCCAATCAATAGTATCAATTCCTTCATGCTGCAGGAACTGCCTGCATACTCTCGCTACATGAGGCCGGGCATTGTCGCACAGCAGGAGGAACCCAGGACCCACTGCACCAGCGTAGGGTCTGACAATGGGTCCAAAGATTTCATCCTGATACCTAATGGCAGTCAAGGTGTCATTGTCTAGCCTGTAGNCCTCCCAGATCTGGACCAGGGCATCACTGAGCTCCTGGACAGTATGAGGTGCAACCTGGTGGCGTTGGATGGACTGAAACATAATGTCCCAGAGGTGTTCCATTGGATTTAGGTCAGGTGAACGTGGGGGCCAGTCAATGGTATCAATTCATTCATGCTGCAGGAACTGCCTGCATACTCTCGCCACATGAGGCCGGGCATTGTCGCACAGCAGGAGGAGCCCAGGACCCACTGCTCCAGAGTAGGGTCTGACAATGGGTCCAAGGATTTCATCCTGATACCTAATGGCAGTCAAGGTGTCATTGTCTAGCCTGTAGAGGTCTGTGTGTCCCTCCATGGATATGGTTAAGGACCTTCTATGGCCCTGTCCATCTCTCCTAGAGTAACTGCCTGTCTCATGGAATCTCCTCCATGCCCTTGAGACTGTGCTGGGAGACACAGTAAAACTTCTGGCAATGACACATCAATATGCACCATCCTGGAGGAGTCGGACTACCTGTGCAACCTCTGTAGGGTCCAGGTATTGCTTCATGCTACCAGTAGTGACACTGACTGTAGCCAAATGCAAAACTAGTGAAAAAACAGTCAGAAGAGATTAGGACGGAAAAATGTGAGTGGCCCCCACCTGTTAAACCATTCTTGTTTTGGGGTCGTCTCATTGTTGCCCCTCTAGTGCACCTGTTGTTAATTTCATTAACACCAAAGCAGCTGAAACTGATTAACAACCCCCTCTGCTACTTAACTGAGGAGATGAATATCCAAGAAGTTTAGTTTACTTGATTCTGTACTCTAATTAATAAGCGTTCCCTTAATTTTTTTGAGCAGTGTATATATATGTGTGTGTGTGTGTGTGGACACTGCAGGAATATCGCCATCGCCGGTTCACCCAAAGCAAACGCAGGGAACTAAAACCAGATTCTGAGCAGCCAGGAAATGGCGAATGTAGTAAATGTATTAACTTGTATTAAAATAAACACTAATCTCGACTGTCAACTTAAGTGTCCTATTCCCATCTCCAGGTAACTTCTTTTATTTTCAGCATACAGAGCAAAAAACACCAAGTAGGTTGTTTAAAAATACTTAAATGCTGTTTAAGGTAAATGTGAACAAAAGCCATACTAAATATCTTGACTTAAAACCGCAATTCTTGTAATTAATATGCGAATTATAATTAGATATAGAATGGACGGCGAATGAAACGAAATACTGAATACTTAATTTTAAAACTCAGTCTCACAGCCCTGAAGGTGTGCTCCCCACTGCGATACCCTACTGCCTGCTACACTAACTAATGTCATCTAATCATATACTCTTAAAAGACCGACGGAATTTAGTTGTTACATAACTCGTAACCACGCGCACAGAAGTCAGTAACTTAAACGATAAATTGAATAAATAAATCCGGTCTCTAGCACCAATCGTATCCACGTCCCGTTTGAGCCGGGTAACAACACCGCCCCAACTTTCCTCTTGCAAACGAAAATGCCGTCAATTTCCGATCACTTTCTAAATTATTTTCCGGCCTGTCGCAAAGTGCGTTACGGCCGCTGACGTAAAATTAGACTAGAATACCCTTTCCACTTATAGGTTAGCATAACGAGCTAGTCGTTGTTTTAAATGTCATGGGAATGACTGCAAGTTGCTAATAGATTGTGACCTGGACAAGAAACGTATTATATAAATCATTCCGTTGCACTGAAGAGTTTGAATAATTTGTATGCGCGGCTAAAAGCCAATTCAGCAATAGAGCCGCACTTGGGCTAACGTGGCACACCAGTGAAATTCGCCAGTCAAACATGGAGTTGGTGGCAGTGGTTGCTGTTTCTTTATTGATAGGCGCACTAATATTATTGGTCGTCGTTGCAGTTTTCAAGCAGGAAAAACAAATGAATCAGCAGAATAATGAGAGAGAAGAAACTGATGGTAAGAATACGGCAAGCAGGTTAATAAAACTGTAATTATCAGTCTATGTATGAAATTATAGTATTCACTGACTTAGCTTCCCAGTGGTGTTAAATGTTAATGAATATTTTGAAAGGTTTGAACTTTGAAATATGGATTTCCTGTGAATGTGCAGTTCATTCCCAGAGTATCAAATAGCTTATTATTTAGTTATATAGCTTGATCAGAACAGCAATTAAATATTGAAGCATTGTACTTGAACCTATTATCAATATCCTGTTTTAACCACAAACTAACATTATATTCTTGGTATTATTCCTTTCTTTTTGGCATCTCTATTTGCAATCTGAGCCAACTTTAATGGGATAGTCTTCCAAGTATGCTGTCTAAACAAACTTAACATATGGACATTATACAAAGTTTTTTATTTATTGTGTAGTGTAATTTTAGAAACTTGTCAGGACAATTATAGAGTAGTATAGATTATTGGGTCTTTATAATGATTACTACCACGCCTTAATGTTCCCTTTAGTGAAAGAAAATGGAGACAAGGCCGTGTCTATCAAAAAGCAGAAGCAGCAGCAGCGTCCCCGCAAGGAGAAGTCGCAGCAGCACACATTCTCGCACACACTCCTGGCAGCATCATTGAAGGTAAACTGAGCTGCCAATCAGGGTGCCCAGTGAGACTGAGATTGATTGGTTATGTCTGTGGATGTCCGGAGAGGGCCACAGTACTGTTTTGCAATCTTAAGATAACATGTACCAGAGTTGGATGGGTTTAAAAAGCAGTTGTTAGGTAAGCTGGATGCGTCTATGAAAGCAGTAACTCGGCCATGGTCTTTGGTTTTCCAGTTTTCATTCCTAATCTTTTTCTATGTAAACTTTTAATCAGTATTTTTATAGCTCATGAGAGTGCTTATATTTTTCCATTTCAGTTTTCCATTTCAAGCTAAAATTGTACTTGATGTAATGTTTCCCATGCAATGAAAATATACAGTAGTTCATTACTTAATGGGCTCCTTTGATAGCAGCCTACAGAAATCTCAACCTGTGTACATAATTGTCATAATTTGTGAGTAAGATTCTTTGAAAAAAATAATGAATGTTTTCAGTCTATTGAGAGCTTTAGAAAATCTTATTGGGCTTCTAGTTGAACTCCTGCTGACAGTTTTTTTTTTTGTCCAGAGTCACAGTGGCAATGTGACTTGCTTGGATTTCAGCAGTAATGGGAAGTATCTGGCGTCTTGCTCTGACGACCGCACCATCCGGATCTGGAGCACCAAGGACTTCCTGGACCGAGAGCACCGATGCCTGCGTGCCAACGTGGAGCTGGATCACGCCACGTTGGTCTGCTTCAGCCCAGACTCCCGGTACGTCTTCAGGGAATGCTGTAAGGTGTGAGATTTGTGAATCAGGAATACTGCCCTGCGCATCCTGTTCTTGACTGATCCACTCTTCCCCTGCGCAGAGCCTTCATAACATGGTTGGCCAACGGGGAGACAGTCCGTATATTCAAGATGAGCAAGAAGGAGGACAGCTCCTTCACCTTCAAAGCCGCACCCGAAGATTTTCCCAAGAGGCACAAAGGAAACGTGATCAACATTGGCGTTGCAGAGACTGGTAAACTGGCCAGAGACACGTGTGGCCACCTGGCACAATATTGTCACATATTCATTTTCAAAAGCGGCTCGTTGGAACTGGTGTGTCCCCCACGTGACCCATGGTCCTGTGCAGGTTGCATGCCTTTTATGTCCAGTTTCTTTCCATTGGTTCTGCTTCACCATGACTCCAATTGTGTTGGTGATTCCCTGAAGATAGCTAGACCGATCAAGCCCTAAAAGTCAATTCTAGACTTAGTTGTTACAGTGGATACCAGTTCATATGTTTAAAACAATCCTGCATTTCAGTAATGAGAAAATGGATGAATATTCAATCTTTACAACCTTTTTTTTCTAGGCAAATTTATCATGACTGCGTCCACAGACACCGCCATTCTGATCTGGGACCTCAAAGGGGAGGTTCTGGCCTCCATTAATACCAACCAGATGACCAACTCCTATGCTGCCATTTCACCCTGTGGCAGGTCTGTCCGCCAGTCGTCCACTGCGGGAAGTTCTGTGTTCTCATTGTTCAAGGAATCTGAAGTGATTCCAGAGAGAAACATAAGTTTTACACTCAGAAGAATACCGATATTGTTTGGTCAAGCTCAGAAAACACATTGTGGGTTGTTAGTGACTTATTTGCCTATTTCAACTTAATACTGTTTGAGACATGTAAGTTTCATCGTTCGATATACTGTGGACCGATGACAACTTCTCGTCCTTTACGCAGATTTGTAGCATCCTGTGGTTTCACCCCAGATGTAAAGGTCTGGGAAGTTTGCTTCGGGAAGAGCGGGGAATTTAAAGAAGTGACCCGAGCCTTTGAACTTAAGGGCCACTCAGCCGGCGTCTACTCCTTAGCCTTCTCCAACGATTCCCGACGGTAAGATATATATTTTCAGCATGTGCCATGGTCATATCGTGTAAGTCAATGCTGCAGCTGTGCTCACAGGACCTGGGCAAGCCTGCAATAATGGTGATGTCTCTGTTCCCTGGAGTTGAGGCCAGAGTTCAATCTTGTTCCTTGAGTCGAGAATGTGGGCCTTTAGCTCAGCTGACCAATCCACACTCATGATAGCAGTGCATTTCTGTGCTGGCTGGGGTTCAGCCTGTGGTCCACATCATACCTTTCATTCTGCTACTTTGATTTGTCCTGTTACAATGTTGCATGCAGAAATCTTGGGGGCAATGTTACTTGATCATAGAGCTTTCAGATCACAGTTCTTTTTTTTCTTTTGGATAATTTAAGATCCATTGATGAGGTAATATTCTCATATGTGATGCAGAAGAATAGAAGATATGCAAAAAGTTGAAGAAATTTAGCAGAATATAATGGGAAGTAATTGACTGCGTAATTCACAAATAATATACATGAAACTGAATGTAAAAAATAATCATTTTTATTACAGATTTGTAAATATATATAAACAAACATTTCCTCTTCAAAATCCAACATTTCTTTTGTTAATGAACTGTCATTAAAGTTTATGTTGTAAAAATGTTGTAATACAGTCTTCCATCACTTAACGACTGGGCCCAGTTGGTCATCCTGTGTATATAATATAGTGTACTTACACAAGTACAGTATAGTAAATACATTTAACCAGTAACATAGTTATCATTATCAAGTATTATATACTGTACATAATTGTACAGTATGTGCTGTACTTTTATACGACTGGCAGAGCAGTAGGTTTGTTCACACTAGCGTCACCAGAAAGGCGTAACTAATGCGTTGCACTACAATGTCACTAGGCAATAGTAGTTTTGTAGCCCCATCATAATCTTATGGGACCACCTTCATATATGTGGTCCATCATTATGCAGAATGTGACTGTACAAAGTGGGACAAACGTAGACAGTTGGATGACGAGTGTGACTTTTTGCAATTTCCCCCCTCCAACCCGGCAGGATGGCAACGGTATCCAAAGATGGCACCTGGAAGCTGTGGGACACTGACGTAGAGTATAAGAAGCAGCAGGACCCTTACCTCCTGCGGACGGTGTGCTGCCAGGCCTCCCGAGGCAGCCGTATCGCCCTGTCGCCGGACGCGCGGGTGGTGGCCATCTCCAGCGGCTGCGACGTGGCTATGTACGATGCAGCCGCTGGGCAGCTGGAGGAGGAGTTCTACGGCATCCACAGCGAGGAGATCACGGACTTGAGGTTCGACGGCAATGGCCGCTACCTGGCGTGCTGCGGGGACCGCGCTATTCGCATTCTCCACAACGCCCCGGGCTACCGGGCTGTCATCCGGGACTTGGAGGACCTGCTGAGAAAGGCAACCAATGAGGGCATGCGCCAGAGGCTGCAGCAACAGATCCAGGAGGCCCAGAGCTCATTGGATACCATCTTGGTTGCATCTAAGGACTGAGTTCCCCTCACTCTCATTAACTCCCTCCTTTTCTCCACCTAAAATTTGGAAAACATGAAATTTCTGTGCTGATTTTAAAAAAATAAACCATGGTGTGTTTCTAGTAAAATTGCATTGATATGTTTCATGTAATTTAGCCCAAAATTTTTTGGAGGCTCTTTCAATGTGGAAGGTATAACAGGCCTAATAATTAATTCTGAGCATTCGATTTTAGATCTTTATCAATTCCATGGTGTTTCCAGGTCCCTACCTTAATTAAATTTTAGCATCTTAATTTTTCTCTGGTTTTGGGAAGCTGCTATACTCATTCAAAAAAAACAAAATTTAAAAGCTTAAACTACAAAAGGTGCAAAATGTAGCTTGAGAGCTACTTTTGAATGTACAGAATCATTCCAAATAAACATATTTAGCCATTTGTGTACATTTATAACTGCATTCATTGATTGAAAAGTTACGTAATATTAATGTGCCAATATTCGCATAATTTCGAGTAAAACTAAAATTTTAATTGTTACGTTGACAAGTTGAAACCACGTGGAAACAGGAGGAGGGCGTTCGGTGAAGGGAGGGGCGGGCGGCGAGTGAGGCACTGAGTCAGAGTGAGTGAGTTAGTGAGTGAGTGAGTGAGTGGGTGGTGTAGTCTCGCGAGATTAGGAAACCGGACAGCGAGACCGAATCGGTCGGAGTAGCAAGAGGAGAAAAATAGAACTAATATCAAGCTTCACAATGTCTGGACGTTCGGTTCGCGCTGAGACCAGGAGTCGTGCTAAAGATGACATAAAGAAAGTGATGGCGGCCATAGAAAGGGTTCGTAGATGGTAAGTGAGAATACGAGCGGAATGGTTTTCATTGTGTGAGAGAAATATCTCTAAACATTCCCGAAACAGAAACTTCAGCGACACTGGAGGGGCGCGGCTTACGCGCTGAATGACAGGTGAATGACAGGGGAAATAGCCAATGACGTGAGGCGTGGACCTCGTATCCCTAGAGACGAGTGGCTTGTCAACGAGGGGCTGGACCAAAAGGGGGCTTTTGAAAGGCTGATGATGTGCATGACGCAAAGCAAGGGTGTATGCAGCCCAGTTCACATATATTAAGATATATACGAGTTTAATTTAATCATATGCTGTGAGACGTAGCTCAGTTGAGAAAATAAACCATTGGTCTTGGTTGGTTATTGTAGTTAAGTGCGTGAGACACAATAAGCTTAGTTTGTGACACGAACGCCCGAACCCTAATGTGTCTATTCCCCGAGGAATACAAGTTGTACGCACACTAAGTCGAGTGACAAGGAGAGCAGAGCGGCTAGCTAACTGGGTCCCAGTCTTTCGCATTGAGCTTTTCGATGCCACGTTTTGAGAATTATCAGAAGACACTAGGCAAACATACTGATTCTGCACCAGTGTTGATTTTTTTTTTGGTTCGCGTTGATGTATTTTTCTAAATGACATTAGTTGGGCGCTCTTCCTGTTCTGAGCTCTAAACAAAGTGATGCGACAGCTTTTCCGCATGAATTAAAAGACTTGAGACCAAAATCGGCCTAAGGAATTCGTTATTGTCTCTTTTCGCCACTGATCCCACATTAGCTCTGCAGACGAGGGGGTTAATTCATTTGTCAGGCTGTGTTTTAAACTATGGGCATCTTCCGTATACGTTCAGCTGTTCGATAGTCTTTAGTTAGGGTGGTTAGACGCCAGTTTCAAGAGCGGAAAAGATAACGGAAGTGAACGTTGGATAGTCAGATAACAAAGAACACGTCAGTAATGATAACAACAGCAGCAATGGAAATATTAATGGTAATAATACATGTAAGTATTCTAGAAATGATTTAGCTATCTAAAGATTCCGCACGCATACAGTTTGTTTCAAAATAACACTGAGGTGTGCTGTGCAATATGTCTGCCTTTCAACGTGACCCTGGTTATTCTTGACAAATGAAAAGGTTTCAGAAATCTTATATTAATATCCTCACTCCTTTTCCTTCCGTTTACCTGTTTTTTCCCCCAAGAATACTTTAGCTTACTCTGGTTAATATTTCCTGTTTGTAACATATATATGTTAAAAATCACTAATATTCATGAATTTATCATTTGAATGCTGACTATTTAGATATTTCCAACCAGGTTTGTAGTGGACCCGAGACTACAGGGCAGAGTTAGAGTAAAAAAACTGGAGAGGAAGCCAGTCCTTTTCATGGTGCAGTGGTTTCCTGTGTACCTGTGTATCTCTGAAGTCACTGCTACAGATGTTGTAGATGCCAGCCACTGGCATTCAGAAAACCTCACAGAGAAAATTTAACTGCTGAAAGTACAAGTGTAATGTGTTCTCTGGCTCTGTTCCACATGGTAACGTTTACAGAAGGCCACATTAACGCGTGAGCTCCATAGCTGTCTTCGCAGTCTTTAATCTTCAGTTGGTTCTTTTCCAGAATACTTCACTTCAAATGACTCTTTTGCAGGCACCATATGCAAAATGCAAATCAGAAGAAATGTCTTTCATGTGCCAAAGTTATTACCCATAAAGCCACTAAACTGTGATGTCACCAGCTCTAGTTGAGTTAAGGTATTGGCCACCAGACAGTTCGGAATGTCTCGTTTGATGTATAGTTTATATCTACTTTAAACGTAAAAAATGATCTTCCATAATTCATGCACCTTCTGTACTTTAGACAATAAAAATGCAAGGTGTATTGCTTGCTGGGGCTTGCCATGAAATGACTGCCAGTTTAATTAGCATTGTGGGTGGCTCACACTTCTACGCTTGGGGATTTGAGTGCTGTCCTCCACTCTGTTTTCGTAGTTTGCATGCTCTCCCTGTGTTGCCCAGGTTTTCTTGCAATTTAAAAATATCTCTAAGTGGCCCATAGCTTACTGATTGCGAGTGTGTTTGTGTGTGTGTTTGTGCCATGTGATGGACTGTTACTGCTCTCAGGGTCTATCCCTGCCCTGTGATCAGCACAGAGTAGGATAGGCTGCATAGAACTCTTAATTTTTAACAGTTTTCTGTATGCCTGCTAACTGTAGGCAGTGCATGATAATGCTGATTTTCCTGTGCTGTCATAAAACAAGCATGCTTTGGCAACAAGTCAATTTGGATACACATTTATTGAGGTCAAGGTCTGCTGTACTGGGGCATAGGACTGGAAACCTAGAAAATAAAAGTTGTTTGAATGGTGATTGCAGACTCATGTTTAATCTGTGTGGCAATGAGACATTTCAGTTATTTTAGAAAGTAAACTATTTTGTCTGCTGACAACGTACAACTAAAATAAACACAAAACTGCCTTTTTTTGTTCAGCTAAATGATATATGAATTTAGCTAAAATGCTGGGGCTTGAAGAATCCTAAATTGAAGGCTCATTTCTAAAAAAAAAAATAAAAAATTAGGTCCAAAAATTATTTTGAGGAAAGTGCAAATTTATACTGCTGTCCTGGGACTGGAATGCTTTAATATTTGGATTTTAATGCATTTTTTCAGTTTGCCTTTTTGCCTTAAAATACATTTTTAGTAGAAACTATCTACATTTGAGTAAATTGTTTACTCAAGGATTGTTTAATAATCCTAACTTTCCTTTCTCTAGGGAGAAGAAATGGGTGACAGTGGGAGACACTTCTTTGCGAATATTTAAATGGGTTCCTGTAGTGGACGCCAAAGAGGTAGGACATGTGATTCGTGATCTCTGCTGCTGTTTATCAATAAGAAGTGATGGAGACTTGGATTTGAAATGTGTAGATATTTAGGGACTCGATTTGACTCTAAGGAACTGACTAGAGATTTGAGTTGAGAACTGAGGCTTTTGATTTTTCAACTTCCAAGGGTTTTCTTTCAATCCTGGGTACAGTAAACATGTGTGAATCATCAGATTGCTGCAAGAGCTCTTTTTCCATGTTGGAGCAATATGATAGTTGCATGATGTCCTTCCAGAAAAATAGTTTGACTGAGCATGAGTTGTGGGACAAATTATTAACAGGTGTTTCTAATTGTTCGAGAGTTCCATGTTGCTTCAGTTGTGCACTCATATTGGAGCTCTTTGTTGGGCTGATTGCAGCTTTTGAAGTCATGAAGCATATCAAATAAAATGAAAAATAACTAGTGAATTGACTGTGATGTAAAACACACAGTTTTGTAGGTGAGATTAAGGCAAATGTTAGTTTGACCCAACGCAGAACGACTGGTCATATCTCAACTGGTCATATCTTTAAAAAGAAAGAAAATGAACACAGCTGATTATAGTATCTGATGACAGACATTATTAGATCACGTAAGAAAAACTTTAACATAACAGCCAAAGAAATCATAGACGAAAGTGAAAGAATCACGATTCATTAAAAAACGACTGAAGCTAGGAACAACTGAGAGACACTAGGAACAAAAGAAGTATATAATGAACCAGAACCAGAGCTGGATAGCTCAGGACTGGGAAGTAAAAATCCAGACCAAGATTTTGTTTCAACCAACCAGTTGAGTGTTCTGTCACGGTGACTCTTTGAATTCTGTCTGAATTCAGGGGCGGTCCCATTTTGAAGTCTCCGTCAAATGCGGTCATCAAATGCATCCTCCTTTTGCCAAGTCACAAAAGATTCACCTGATGGATTCTTCACAGTCCAACATATCCCATGATTCATTGAGCGTAGGTGTAGTGGGTGTGTCCCATCTAGGCTATAGGTGCAAAAGTTTTGTGACTCAAGGGTAAGGGTAGGAACAGCTGGTGACACAAATTGGAAATTATCCATAATGCAGACCGTCCCATTTGACAACACTCTCTGTCCGATCTTTGAAAAATACAGCCTACAATGGCTGCACCTTCCAAGACTGCATCCTTTGAAGGATGCAGCCCCTGAATTCAGACACAGCCAATGCTCAGCTAATTGGTTGAAACAAAATCTTGATCTGGATTTTTACTTTCTGGACCTGACCTATCCACCTCTGCCCAGAACAATTAGAAAAAAGAGTTCCATGGACAGATGAGGTGAAGATAAGCCTTCTTCGGAGTGACCTCACCTGTGGAGCATGGAGGAAATAGTGTCATGGCTTGGGCATGCATGGTTGTCTCACAAACTAGATTACTGCTTTTGATTGATGACATAAGTGTTGGTGGTAGCAGTAGAC